CACTTATGCTACGCTTACATAAAAAACGCGCGCGTCTTGCGGCAGAAAAGATAATGGGAAATGAGGAGAGTAAAAGACGCCGGCGTCTTGCCGCTTTTTTTGAGTGCTTACATAAACTGCGTCTTCCGCCGGCGTCAAGACGCCGGCGTCTTGACGCTTTTTTTGCGTGCTTACATAACTCGCGTCTTCCGCCGGCGTCTTGACGCCGGCGTCTTGCCGCTTTTTTTGAGTGCTTACATAAACTGCGTCTTCCGCCGGCGTCTTGACGCCGGCGTCTCTTTTTTTAATTCAAACATGTTTGAATTTTTTGCGGCAACTTTTAGCGTCTTGATCATTTCTCGGCCAATTCTAATCCGATTTTCAAAATTTAAAAAGATTTTGAAAATTCAATTCATTCTCTATCGATCAATATAAATTTTATATTTTTAAAGTTAAATCTTATGGGTTAAAATTGATTTTGAAAAACGTATACTTTTTGCAAAAAATATTCTTTTTTTTCGATATTTTTGAGATTTTCGAGATAAAAAAGTATTTATATCATAACTTTTTTATCAATCGGTCAAAAATTCTGATTTTTTGTTATGTTGTAGAGCTTTTGATTCTCTATCAAATAATACCAAAAACATGAAAAATTGACCATTTCTTAATGAGTAGGGCTCGTACCATATAGTTAAAGACAAAAAGTTTTGGGGAAAATCGAGGCTGATGGGAAAGTTCCAAAATATCTCTGGAACTAGTTCCAGTTCCAGAACTAGGTTTTTAATTTTTGTAGTTCCAGTTCAGGAACTCCATTTTTTAAATTCCTTAGTTCCAGTTCAGAACTTGTTCCAAGTTTGTTCTAGTTCCAAACTTTTAAATTTTTTTGAATATGAAGATTTAGCCTCATAAGAGGATTTAGTGACAGAGGATTTAGCCTCATAAGTTTGTTCAAAATCGCCAAATCTAACCGATCTTAGTTCCGCCGGCGTCTTGACGCCGGCGTCTCTTTTTTTAATTCAAACATGTTTGAATTTTTTGCGGCAACTTTTAGCGTCTTGATCATTTCTCGGCCAATTCTAATCCGATTTTCAAAATTTAAAAAGATTTTGAAAATTCAATTCATTCTCTATCGATCAATATAAATTTTATATTTTTAAAGTTAAATTTTATGGGTTAAAATTGATTTTGAAAAAGGTATACTTTTTGCAAAAAATATTATTTTTTTTCGGCAATATTCGGGTTCGGGATCCGACTTTTTCAAAATTTGAGTTCAGATTCGTACTCAGCATATTTTTTTACCCTAGAAAAACCCTTTTTCTTATTTTTAAACTTTTTTTTTCGCAGGGACCACGATTCTCCGGGATTGCTTTTTTCGATATTTTTGAGATGTCTCATACAGTGCCGGAAAAAAAGATAGAGCCAAGGGCTGTTGAATTAGTTTTTATCGATTATCTCTTTTCGATTAACATTTAGGAAAAAAGTTTCAACACAAAAATTGTTGATCTTTAAATTCTCTTTAAAATGAGTATAAATATGACTATGATTTACCGACAAACTTTTTACCAAAAATTTTTAAAAAATACTACCCCATTTTTGGGTAGTATTTTTTAAAAAATATTTTTTAAAAAATACTACCCCAATACTACCCCACATTAAAAATGCTTAAAACCTCCCAAAATACCCCAAAAATGATAACTAACTCTAATTCCCGGCCTTTATCTCCATGAATCTTTTGGCGGAAAACTTTTTGTTGAGATATTTTTGTAGAGAATTTTATGGGCTTTCAAATGAGCCTAAAATAAAATTTTTTGTTTAGGCTCTAGGGGGTCAAAATATTTTCCAAAGTACTGTACCCACGTTTTCTGTTGATTTTTGCGATTTGAGATCTCGATGAAGGAAGTAGTTGCAGACTTCATTCTTTTTATTTTTCTACTCAGTATTGATGGAAATGTTGGCAGGAATTTTTGTAGAATTTTTGACGGAACGAAATCTTTTTGGCTCTATCTTTTTTTCCGGCACTGTATGTGTGAAAAATTCAGCTTGGTCCCCCCTATGGTTTTTCTATTTTATAGGACCTATATTCGGGCCCGGGAACTTGTTCCAAGTTAGTTCTAGTTCCTTGGATCCCTTGAAATATCCGGATATCACTAAATCCACTTAACTCCATTCAAATTCTCCGATATACACATAAGTCTTCCTTTTCAGCTTTGAGAAATTCGGAGGCCAAGAAACTAGATTTCTTCCTTTTTCAGCGCCGCAGGCGAAAATTTTGAAAAATTTAAAGATCCTTAAGCAAAAGTCTTCCGAAAATCCCGAAAATTAAAAAAAAAGTCCGGGATCCCGAGTCGGGATTTTTTTCTTAACCGATGCCGTGACGTGATCCCGAGGGATAAATCCCGAAAAAATCCCGGATCCCAATGATCCCGACAATCACAAAAATCCGGGATTACGGGATCCCGGAAAATCCCGTCGGGATCCCGTCCCGCGCCGACCTCTAATTAGAATATTTTACCATGAAGTTGGATCGGTATCATGGCAGGATAAAATGATTTAATATTTTTTGTTCAATTTAATTTCAATAAAATATTTGTTACAAATTTAGTACGCAATTAGTGCTTACATAAAAAACGCAGCTTTTTGCGGAAGACGCTAGGCGTCAAGACGCCGGCGGAAGACGCAGATTTGTGCTTACATAAAACTAGCGTTTTGACGCTTTGCGTCTTCCCGCTTAGCGGAAGACGCCGATTTTATGTAAGCACGAAACTGCGTCTTCCGCCGGCGTCTTGTCGCCGAGCGTCTTCCGCCGGCGTCTTGCGTTTTTTATGTAAGCGTAGCATTAGTGACTTAACTCATTCCATTTATGTGAATTACTCTTTGAGTATTCACTTCAGGTCTCTTCGTGAACTTCGCTGCTACAAACACTTCTACAACGACAATAATAAATAATTATTTATTTATTATTTCTACCAAGTTACTGTCTCTAAAAGACAACAACAATAAATCTAATAGAGGCAAAATTTTAATTTATTATGAATTTAAAAATTAAAATTTTCTTTAACTAATTTAATTATAAAAAAAAAATTTTTTGTTAAGCTCACTTAGTGACTTAACTTATTTCATTTATGTGATTTACTCTACGAGTATTCACAGCAGGTCTCTCTGTGGAGTTCTCATCGACAACCTTCGGTTTTTATTATTCCAACCTAGTTACTGTCATAAAAGACAACAACACAAATTTAGCAAATCGACTAAACAACAATTCTGTTGCTGCTTTGCTCTACTACGACTAAATTAGGCTCTGATGCTCAACCGACCAATAATAACCCGACTGCTGCTCAACTCTGCTAATTTTATATTTTTATGCCTCTGCCGACAATTGTTTTTCGCTTGCTTCTTACACAATGATTGGAATAAGTGAGGCAAATTTAAAATTTAATAAAAATTAAAAATTTTTCAATATTAAATTTTAAAAATTAAAATATCCGTCACGATCCTTCTGGACATGACACTAAATTTCAAAATAAATTTTAATATTATAAATGGTTGAGACTCTTATGAGTCTCAACACTTTTGTCAGATGTTGGTAGAGTCTCAAAAGCAATTCACGTGGACAACATTCAACGCGACGACCAAAGTTCAGGACAATACATTTATTTTTACTCTCTTCATTTTTATCCCCTTTCCCATACTTTACACCTTTTAATCTTCTCTCTAATAAAAATTTATAATTTATTTCTGTTGTCCACTTCCGTTTTCTCATCTTCCTTCTATCAACACTTAAGCATTCTTTTAATTTTAAAATGCTCTTTTCTCAAGTGCGAACGTTGTTTATACTAAGTGTAACAACATTGCTTTCTCATAATTTACAACACATAGTTGATCGTCTTAGAGCGAACAACAATAAATAAATTTATTTATCTTTTAATGGTTAGGCTCAAATTTACCAACCACTTAATTATTCATCTCTACTCTTTTATACATCTTTGCTAGCTAGCTTCTTTATATTGGGTACCCGCTTCGATCTATCTGCGCCTATCCGCTTCACGCCCGCTTTATAAAATAAATTATAGGGTCCCAATCCGCGCCTCTGCGCCCAACCGCTTAATGCTCTGCGCTTTTTGCATTCCGCTTCTTGCTCGCTCCTGCGCTATTCGCCTCTCCCTTTCTCTTCTGCGCTTTTTGCATTCCGCTTCTCGCTCAACCCTGCGCCATTCGCATTCCGCTTTGCTCTCTCCTGCGCTATTCTTCTTTCTATTTATTTTAACGCGACTTGCTCTAAAATATAATAAAATGTTAAGTTAAATTACTAAATTTAAGATTATAATTGTTAATTATATTAACTACAAATGGACAACGTACTCAGCAACCGAACAAGGAAGGCAGCTACAACACTCAACTCATTGTTGGCGCAATCAATGCCAGCTTTACCAGAACAACAAAACAACATAAATGAACTTGCAGAAATTAAATCAACATTAATGGTTCTTCGAGGTCACCTCGAAGAACTCGAAGATGTTATGGCAGCAATGAATAAGATAGACGAGGAATGGGCTTCTGTCCTTTCTCAAGCAACGGAGACAGATAAAGTTCGTGTGTCTAGAATCTACGATAAGGACCAAGAAGATTATCAGTGTGAAGTTATTATGACTAAAGCCTTGGAGGCAAGAAGATGTTTAACGGGGCTTATAGGTAAATTTACAGCTAGAGAAGTGGTATTGGAATCAATATGTCAAAGGAGTGATTCAATATCAATTTTCAATCGGAGCATGGACCAAACAAACCAAACCTGGAATCAAACTGTACAACCCGTCTCTCTTCCTATTCTGGCATCACCAAAGAAATTCTCAGGCAACTTTCGACACTGGCGTGAGTTTATAGAATCTTTTAATGCAATTGTGGGAAATTCGAATATTGAACCAATTTATAAGTTCAATCACCTATTAGGACTTTTGGAAGGAGAAGCTTTGAATCTTGTACGTTATTTTAGGCCTTCGGCCGATAACTATAAGATCGCATTGGACATGCTGAAAGAGAAATATGATGATAAGGAAGCAATCACCGACGACTTGATTCAACGATTCCTTGCTTTAAAACCCTGTTGGTCGTTTTCAGATGTCCGACAATTTCAACTTGAAATGGAATTGATTTGCAGACAACTCGAAGCTCTCGGGGCCGAGTTAAATAATCCCATCATTTGTTCTTCTTTGGAGGACAAATTAAATTATACAATATTAAAGGAAATCAAAGAAGCCAAACGTAATAACCCAGCATGGAACACGAAAATGTTCAGAGACAAATTAAAACAACTAGTCCAAGAGGAGATATCTTACAAAATGGCTTATGGTCTACAACATGAAGCAAAGACTTCTACTAATGGTAGAGATACAGATGCCCGTTCTTAGGTTAGGGCCAACTAAAAAACTAAGTCGGTATCTTTTATAAGACCGACATGAACAAACCACTATCAAATAAACATGATTCTTCAGCATCAGAATTAAAAGAAATCTCGGAGACCAACAACCCAACTCATCTTGGCAGTTTTATCCACAACTACTTCCTGAGTGTTGCGTTAGTCTAGTCTCATTATCGGCTAACAGCGAATATTGCGACAACATAAAGACAACACTATCAATTAAATACACAAAATGAAACATCTCTCATAAGCAACATGGAATCAATACAAATACGGAACAATCAGGTAAGGTATTTGTTAATTTCAAATTCAACTCAACACACTTGATCAACATTGGCCAGAGAATGCTATTATACCTGGATTGGACAAACTACAACAGCTTCACTGTAAATTGTGTAGACAAGAGAAGAAAATATATTAGGCAAATAATGTAATCATCTGTCAATCAAAATTACGTCCTCACATTTAATTGCGAGGACAGCTGAAGAAAAGAAAAAGAAAAAATTTGGAAAAGAATAAATGGACAGAAAAGATATTTGCAATCAATATAATTATTTTTGAAGAAATCACGTTCTCATAGTTCTCTATGTGAACAACGGAAGCGAAAATTATTGGGGAAATAAAATTGTATCAACTTGAACATCATAATAATGGTCCCCACATTCATCTGTGAAGACAAAACAAACTCAATAGTGGGAATCAACGGACCAAGCAACATTTAAATTGTTGTCCTCGCAGTCTTCTGCGCGGACAATAGAAGCAAAAGGTATTGGAAAAGAATTGTAGCCCTAGGAAATTTAAACTAATCGTCCTCACAGTTCCCTGTGTGGACAAATTTTCTCAACAACGAGACTAAAAGATTAAAGTTGTCGTTCTCACAGTTCTCTGTGTGGACAAATAAATGATATGAGTAAAATAGTGGAATCATCTTTACATAAATATTTCATGTCCTCACAGTTAGCTGTAGGACCGCATAATGGAAAGTCATCCGAATCAACATACAACTACATAGAAAACGAAACTCGTTGACAAAAAATCCTCATCAACGGAAAAGAATGGAACATCTATGTTATACGTCTTCACAACTCACTCTGTGCAGATAAAAGAATTCAACTCAATAAGAATAGATGAATGACCCAAACATGTCCGGAAGCTACGCTTACCGGATTCAGAAAGAACAATTGTAATAGATAAAACTCGTGATTGTGCTAATCAATAGTTGTGACTTTTGAACTTCATAGTATATACATTCAAATGTGTGGACAAATCAAAAAGGGATTCACCGGAATTTACAGCTAATAAATTTGGAGACAAATTGTGCTCGCTCGCTTGGATTAAACAATTTATGGTTTGCATATTTGCAAAATATAGTTAATTGAAGTTCGGAAGCTCCGCTTATCGAACAGTTGAGTAAATGGATTGACTTGAAACTTTTTATCTGCAATATCGGCGAGAATTAATAAAACAAGTAAAGTATTTGTTTTTAAAAAACAACCTAAGCCCAATATAAAAATATTCTTATATTCTACTTCTCGAAAGGGGGGGGGAGAAGATAGAGAAGTGGATCTTTGCTTGAAGCCTTCTGCAGCATCCATAAATCGATAGACAATCAAGCAACATTCCCTTCAAAGGATATCTTAGAAATTGGAAATTTGTCCGTTGAACTACGTTCGCGGACATTTGGAAACAAATTTATGTGTTTGAGAAATACAACAAAAAATAAATTCAAATGGAGATAAATAAAAGGAAAATTTTGAAGTTAAGTTTATTTTGAGGATTAGTTTCTGATGATCCTCATTGGCAAGTTTTAAGGACTAGTTAGGAGATTGATCATACACAAACACAGAAAGGAATTGTAATACAACAGGCACAATATGGAATTGGCATCTTCTCGAAAGGGGGGAGTGTGTCGGAGACCCGACAATGAAAGCACTTGCTTTATTGGGAAATAAATTTCTTTTCCCTGATTGTTATCGAGGTGTATGGGAATTGGTTTTCTCCCGTATATTTGATACACTATACCCGGTCCCTCACCTCCAGAAAAGGAGATTTTGTTGTGAAATGCTCCCGCTAGACTACAATAAATATTGTCAATCTCTCTTCAAGCGATTGACTTTCCCACACAAACATTTATGGAAAGTTTTATGGTCTTGTCACATCTCTCAGAGTTTGTGACTATTAACCTTTCTAGTAATGGACTAACTTCCGCTATGTCGAAACTCTCAGAGTTAACGACTTTAATTCAACTGGTGATCAAATGGCTCTTATAATCAACTGGCTATGTCGCTCACTCTCAGAGAAGCGACCTTTGCTCAATGGTGGAAATGCACACAGCCGCGACTACGCTGCATGCTCTGGCTGGTCTATTTAAAGAAAAGAAGACTCTCCACAAATATGCTCAGTTTAGCTGCTCAGTTTAGCTGCTCAGTTTTAACTGCTCAATAGCAGCTCAGTTCTGGGATGTAGAGGGAATAAAAGAAAATATCTATTTTCCCCTTTTCTCCCCTTCCCTTTTTCTTGTCCCCTTCCTTTGTAAATAAATTTATATTTTTATTTTATGCTTTAATTATTTGTATTTAATTTAATTTAAATAAACTATTTATTACTTATTCTTGAATTAATATTAGTAATTAATTATTAAGTACTTCAATTATTATAACGAGTCTTCCCGCCCAATAATATAATTTTAGGGGGCCTCAACGATTAAATTCCCGAGTTTAGGGGTTCTCCCCGGCTCAGAGGCTACAGAAAACCCAGTACAACAAAATGGCCAATTTCCTGGATCCACCGTCTACTCATCTTTGGCGGCATCTTGCCAAACTTACGTCGCAGGCCCTCGTGTCTGCGACATTCATACCATTATTTTATGTTGTGGATATGGCTTTATTTATTATGCCATATTCTAATGGAGGCATTAAATATTTTGATAATTTTAACAAAACAATGCCGTTTGTTGATATTAAGATGGGAACGGTAATTTTTTAAAATTAAATTTTTAAATAAAAATTTAGAATAACATTTTTTCACAAATACCAATATCTTTAATTGAAGTAACTTCTTATTTAATTATTTTTGTTTGTGGATTCAAAATGGTCAGATTTGTCAATTTAAACACCAATTTAGATGAAAATTTGAAAAGATTGAATAAACTGTTAACTAAGGCTTTGATTATTTTGGTATAATTTTAAATTTCAATATTTCTCATATTTTTTGTCACTATAAATCAGGGATGTCTCGGGTTACCAGAAACTATATCCGGACTTTTTCGACCCGAAACCTGATAGGAATAAAATTCTGAAGACCAGACTACAAATCATTTTCATAGTGCGACCTTTAAAGGCGAGACATTTGAAGATGATTGACATTAATTTATAAAGTAGGTAATAAAAACGATGTATAGAATTAGGGTTATCGGTTCTGGACCGAACCGAACAGAAGAACCTATGATTTTTCGGTTCGGATATCGGTTAGGTTCGGGTGGTTCTATTAGAATAAATGCGGTATTTAAAGTTAAGTATGTCTTTACATTTTTGTCAGAAAAAGCTCAATATCCCCAAATGTCAAACTTCAGTAGGGATTTAGCCGACATAAAAAATAAATTCCTGTTTCGTGAAATCAAACCCAAAAATGTCCGGATTCTTGATTTTCTTTAATCGGGTGATCTAGATCCCTGGTCAGTAAATGTCGTATACCAAGAAGGACTAAAATTCTCTAAATTTCAAAATTCCCTCAAAAAAGTATGAGAAACATTCGATTAAAAAGAATATTTTTTCAAATAAATTTTTAGGCAATTATACCATTTGTTAACCAAGCAGGAGAGATTTATTTTATAATTTCTTCAAAAACAACCGACGATACATCAAATATTATTCGAATATTAATTGCAATTTCCTTTCATTTTATACCTGTATTTAACCCAATTATTTGTATTTTAACGAACACACCTTATCGAAAAGCTATTTTTAACCGTGTACAAATACATCCACAATAATATTAAAAATCTCATTATCTCTCTGAAACATTTTTGTAAAATAATGTAAGCCATCCATTTATTGCCTAAGCAAAGGTGATCTTTTGGGCGAGCATTATTCCAACCCGGTGTTACCGCCCGAAACCCGAAACCCATCCTTTTTTTGTACCCGAAACCAGAAAAGAAAATTTTCCAACCCGATACCCGTACCCGAATATTTTTTGTACCCGCGGCAACTCTGTTCCTAACCATTACACTATCTTTATTATTTATCGTTATTATCTGTGACACATCCAATTCACATGCTTATGTTTATATATTGTTCATTGTTTCACCAATAAATCGGTTTTCAATTAGTCAGTCTGCAATGTTTGTGCTTCAAAGGAAAAGCACGCCGGTGTGGCTTGATGGTAAAGGCTTATTGTTAGCTAGGATCTGGCCTACCCAATAGCTATCCTTAGAAATTATAATGGTTATATGTGCCTAGGTTTAGTTTTAGAATGGACCCAGCATACTTCCACCTAACTATAAAGTAGTCTTTTTAAGGAATGGAATGCCAAAAAATACAGCAAAATTTCTGTCATACATACTTCGGACCAACCTTTGTCCTTATAGGAGGGAAGTGATGTCGTTGAAAAAAAACTTTTTGATAATGATTTAACGTATCTGAGAAAGGACTAACATACATAATTATGAACGTGATGTGGGACGGGCGACTTTATAGAATACGTCGAGTACCGAGTAATGACGGAAAAACTCGAGCGATCGAGACTTTATAGAGAGGGATTTCTATTTTTTATTAATGAAGATTTATTTATTTATTAATTAAGGTTTTTATTTACAAAACTAAATATTTATAAAATATATTAATCTAAACTAATTTATGATTCTTTTTCAAGTACTTTTTGCTTTCAATTTATCACAGACAATACCAATTCTAGCTATATGATCAGGCATTACTCGACAACAACCTCCAAAGATTCTAGCACCCAATAAATACCAATGAGGAATTAATGAAGCAATCCTGTTAATTTTTTTGATTTAAGGAGAAAGAAATAAAAATTGGACAATTCACAAGTTTATTAACCAAGTTTAAATAACCCAAGTTTATCCAATACCAAAATAAATTTTAAATAATTTTTGTGCTATTCTAGACTTAAATGCTATCCCCAACTATCCTAGAGGCAGCGCTTTGTGCGATTATATTCATTGTTATTCTAATAAACTAAACGGGCAGGAAATTTGATTGCATTATATCTCATAATCCATATCAGAGGTCAAGCCGTCCCGATTACCAAAATCGGGAATTTATTTTTACGTCGGCTAGATCCTTTTGCAAAAAGATTTTAAAAATCCTTTCGGTAAACTGCCCACACTCATTTAACTTACATTTCTATTTGTGTAGCACCTTGAAATTGCTGTAAAACTGGATTCCAAATTTCGCCACTATTTGGATAAACAACCTTTATTTAGGTTAATTAAAATCATACATTTTTAAAAAACATACTAGAGCTTTTCGATTCCCAGTTTTATTTGCTTCTTCAAGTAATTCTGTGATATTTTCTGGTGCTGTACAGTTAACACCAACAGCTACTACTTTTTGGATTGAATTGGCAACTTTGACAACACTTGAGAATAAATCACCGCTACGAGTTCTTTTTCCATCCTTTAAACGGAAATAAAATGTAATCACTATTTATCAAGCCTCTTAATACAAGTATTCAACCCCATAGTTCCTTCACAAACTTTCTTAGTTCCTTAACAACTCAAATCCCGTGCAGATTTTCATCCCTGAACGTATTCTCCCTAATTTTCCTCCCCATTCCTCTACTCGTTTTTCAATCCCATAATTTCTTTCCTTCTTCCCGCACACAACAACCTATTTGATAACCTTTTACCTGGCAGGTGCTGACAATCCAAGCACGCACCTCCGGTCCAAGCTGATCCAGAACCTTCCCTACACATTCAACTTCTTTAAGCGTAGGAATTGTTTCGAAGACGAGTGTTCGAATACCCGCTGCAATTAATGGACGGCATTGGGAGAGATAATAGTCAATTATTATCTGAAAGTAAAATAATATTTTTGGAAGTTTCTCCATCCACACCTGTTCATTAAAATCAGGCTTCTTTACATAATCACCGGTATATTCAGATCCATCTCTCAGATATGTAGCATAGGGGCCTACAGAGCCTACTAATTGAACAGAGCGACCAGAGGCGGATATCGCATCACGAGCAATTTGAACGGCAAGCTGTTAGAAATTGCAGGATGTAATTAATTTTGTGAACACACCCCGTTAAGGATGGTTAAGAAAAATCCAAAAGTCAAGTATTTGTAAGGCTTTTCAAAACTTGGGTTTTGGTTTTGAAATCCTCGTTCATATTCATTAATTATAGGTCTCCCCGATATCTCCCCATTATATCTCTCTCCTTATCACGTCCGAACAACTATGTCCTGAAGGACCATCAATATCATCTCTCTCTCTCTTGTTCGACTCCATTCAAAATCCAACCTTCAACTAATCCCAATCATAAGAAAATAAATTTAAAAGACAACACCTTAACAAGGGATTCGGCTTGTTCAACACTGTAGCCACGACATTCACGTAGTTTTTTGATGCAAAGGTGGTAAGTGTTCGTCTCGATAATGTCTGCACCGGCATTGATAAATCTTCAAGAATATTTCAAAAATTATTTTAAATAAATTCCCCCTTTGAATCAAATACATATTTTTCTACTCACGATTGGTGACATTCTCTAACCAAATCAGGTCTATCAATTAAAGCCCCTCCACTCCAAACTTCTGATTTCTAATTAAATTTCTGTTTTTTTTTAAATTATTTTTCTAAGCATTCTTACATCAACAGCATAACCTAAAGCTTCTAATTGAGACTCAAACCCTCCACTCAGAACCAAAACTGGTTGTTCGCTTATTTGAGAAGAGTGGGGAGAATTATTTAAATTATCGAATTGCATTTTTTAATCTGTTCTAAGCTTAAAATTTGTGAAATTCATTGAAATTTAAACAATCTAAAACTTTTAAGCAAGTAAAACAAATCGAGATTTAAAAAATCAGTCAAATCAAAATCAGTAGAGGAAAAGGCAAGGAAGCTCAGAAATGCTTAAACTCGAAATTTCGGCACATATCGAAGTTTTCATTTTTCTTTGAAAATTTCTTATACATAAACATCCTAATTCGATATTATAGCTAAGTTAGTAAAAATTTTCAAGCATTCTCAGTAGATTGCCTAGTAACGAAAATAATTAATAATTTTTATTAATTTTATTAACTGATAAATTTATAAATATATTCTTAATTTTGCCTTAAATGATTCATTATTGACAGACTCTCGCAAAATAATTATTTTTTTAAAATAATTGATTCAAAAGGGGGGAAAACTGTGCAAACAAAAATTTTAAAAAAATCACTCACGATTGATGACATTTTCTAACTAATTCGGGCTCTTCAATCAATGCACCTCCACTCCAAACTTCCGATTTCTAACAAAATTTTAAACAAATTTTGAGAAAATAATTTAATTAATTTACATCAACAGCATAACCCAAAGCTTCCAATTGGGACCCAAAACCTCCATCTAGAACCAATACTTGAGGGGGAATTTGTGCATCCACTTTTGGGGGAGATGGGGAACTGTTTAAATCGTTGGCTGGCATTTTTTGAAAAGAAATTTTTAAAAATATTCCTTGAAAAAATTGTTATTGAGGAGAGACAATTCACTGAAAGGACAATTCATTTAAATTATCTAAGGAATTCAATTGAGGTGGAAGGTTGAGTGAGAGAGAGAGAGAGAAAAAGATTTATTTATAGCAAGGGTCTAATTAATCTTATTCCCGAAGGTCAGAAATTTATTTTTTGTCGGCTAGACCCCTGTTATATAAAAGATCGATCGGGTGGAATTATCCCGTTTGTTGAATCCCGATCCCGATTTGATCCAAATCCGATTGTTATCCACTCACTAATCCCGTCACTACCGTTTAGTTTTATCAACTAGGATGGTTGGAAATTTAACTAGCCACCTTTGCTATTTAACAGCTATAAAAGAATTTTTTACATAAACCCAATGAGAAATAAGGGGCAGCCCTTCCTTTTGTTTGAAACAGAATCTTCGTTAAAATACTAAATGGAATTGTCCTGATAAAGTTTCTCTAAAAGGTAGAAACTAAAAGTAAAATTAGGCTTCTTATTTATCCTCTCATAACTAAATAATCCCTATCCAACCCATTAAGCACCCTCCCTAGATTTTTTAGTCTTTTTTCAGTGAATCGTCTTAAAGTGAATTGTCCTGATAGCAAAAATTATTTTTATTTAATTTATTTACTAAATTTTAATGGAAATGGAAAGAAAAATGTCAATAAAGAGCATTTTAAATAACTGGTGATTTTTGGAAATAATTATCATTTGAGAGGAAATATATATAGGGAATTATAGATCGAACAAAGAGAAAGAAATAAAGCCATTAATTTTCGGGAAAGGACAAATTTAAAAAAATTTACACAGTAATTTTTGTTAATTAATTAATTTTATTTAAAAGGGACGTTTCGGCGCGAACTTAAAATTAGGTAATAACTATTAATGGACGTAGAACTAGAAGTTTTGGTCCTAGAACCGTGAAATTTTGCACAGATATTCTCTATAGTGTTGACTAACAACTCTTAAAATTTCCTAACTTTTAGTCTATCATTTAGGAAGTTATTGTTAAAAATATCACCGTCAGTCCTACTTTAACTGAATTTTTACTATTTTTCTTGCATTTTCCCCAAAAAATTTTTGAAATATGTATATAAGAAAATATTCGGAATTTTTATATAAGTTAGACAACCCCTAAAACTATATTCATACAAAATTTCATATTTCTAGAGCGTCATTTGTTAATTATATAAACTCACGCCGAAAGGCCTTCCGCGCCGAAACAGCCTCTACCGTTTAAATAAAATTAATTTCTTAGGACAATGAAAGAATGATGCAAAAAATAAAAAAAGAACATAGATAAGTAAGATAACGATAAAAATATTTTATTTATTAATTCACATTAGTTTCACGTGTTATAGTACAACAAAATTCTTTCAATTATTACCTGTTTTTATATTTTTTATTTTTATTTTTAAAAGAGAGAAAGAAAAGCTGTTATTTAGCTTTAATATTTATTTTTGTTATTTTATATTGCAAAAATGTATATAAACAAACCTTTTTTTTATTTTATGGGAAAATGGAAAGAGCAAGGTCCAACAGAGGGCTAAACGACATTTGCGGACCCGCACTTGCGGACCGACACATGCGGACCGACTTTTGCGGATTCGCACTTGCGGACCGACTTTTGCGGACCGACTCTTGCGGACCGACATATGCGGACCGACACTTGCGGACCCGACATTTGCGGACCCGAAATGAAATAAAAAATAAAAAGAAATTAAAGAAATAAAACTTTAAAAAATTTAAAAGAAATTTATTTGAAAATGAAAATCAGAATCTCAAAAATGTGGAGAGCTTACAGTAAATTTACTAATGAACGAGAATTTTTAAAAATTATATCCAAAAATATTTTTTTTAATTTTTAAAGAGCTTCGGGTAGGATTTTAACCCACGTCAGATGAGGGTACAATTCTATTCCCTGCATAATGCATAACAAACCAGAACTCTTTTGTAGAGTTACCCGCATTTTGGATAAGAGTTCTGATTGTGTGTCACTTTACCCGCAACTGAGGGTTGGTTACCCTTACCTCAATTTTAGAATATCGCCCCAGAATTCAAAAAATTTTCTCTTTAAAAAAAGCACAAGAGAATGGATAGGTTCAAAAGAAAAAAAATTGCTAAGATTGGCTCCGGATTTATAACTAAAACCGGTCTTTTATCATCTTTTTTAAAAATTCATTTCGGGTCCGCAAATGTCGGTCCGCAAGTGTCGGTCCGCAAAAGTCGGTCCGTAAGTGTCGGTCCGCAAGTGCGGGTCCGCAAGTGTCGGTCCGCAAGTGCGAATCCGCAAATGTCGGTCCGCAAGTGCGGGTCCGCAAATGTCGGCTAACCCAACAGAGCCAGCTATAATTCCTTATATGATTCATTAACACGCGAGAAAATTATATATATTTTTTTACTAAGTTCATAGAAATTTTAAAATGCCAACAAGTTAATGAAATAATGGGAAGGTTGAACGGTTAACAATAACCTTGAATCGAAGAGCTCTCGGAATCAAGTCCTTTCCAGTAGTTTGAAGCCTTGTCTAAATTTCTTACTCATAACTGTGTACGAAGTAAGAGTACGGCATGTACGAGTGCGATACGATGCCAAAAATAGGCAGTACGAGTACTAGCAAATTTCAAAATTCCAACACTGGTCTTTTCCATTATTTTCAATTTTCTATTATGGGGCTACTTTATAAGCAGCCCACTTAGGAGCTTTCAAAAACACTAAAATTTTCGGTTATAGGTTTATATACAACACAAATAAAGAATTTACATATACTGCAATAGGTCTTAGAAATTCAGAGATTTTCGGATAAAAATATTAGGGAAAACTAGAAAATATCATAAATCAGTAAGAAATAATATACAAAATTGTACAAACCCTCACTTTTACGACACTCTCCTCAGATTTTCTCCTCATTTTAAGTTTCATAAAAGTGAGATCCGTCATTCGTAATTATCTAATATTTCTTCAATTTCATTAAATCGGTTGTTGTAAAGTATTATCCGGCCCTTTCATAATATTAGTATTAATAGCCGAGGGAAATGGTGGATGGCTTCCTGTAGTTATTGGATGTACAGTAACGCTCTTTCCACAAATTTTCTTAAACATTCCGATACAGTCACGTTGGATTGATGTGTTCATTGTTAAGTAAATGACAGGCGGAATTCCTTAAATTATTTTAATGTAGAGCCGGAACTAATTCTTTAGCAACGGGCGGGGACAGAGAACAACCAGAATCTATCCCAAAGGCTAACAGTCCGATATAAATTTGCCAGTCTTAACACTGACATCCAAAAATATTATATCATTATGCCATCTTCACACAATGTTTCAAAAGTCGGAAACATTTAATTCAAGTTTTATTAAATATATTATATTAAGTAAATTTATATTTTCCCAAAGAAAAATGTAAAATAGTTATCAGCTGATTTTTGTGTTTACTTATTGAAAAATTCTCCGTTTTTTGCAGAGTTTCTTTAAATTCCCCAACTTGAGGGACGGGAAGCAACCCTAATCAGGACCGATGTGATATTATATAGGAATGAAAGGGAAGAGGGAAGGCGTAACAGTTGGATTCCATTGTGCATATCAATTTAAGATAATCTGTTTAGGCAGCCCTCCTTTAGTCAGCTCCCCCTCCATTGGGCGGAGAGAACATATAGTAACTAGTAAATATTTAAATAAGATATACAATTTTTTCAGCTTCAAGGGTGTATCTTATAGCGAGATCCGACATAGGTATTCTATTTTAAAACTTTTTAATTTTTACCATGAGCATTAACCCAGTTAAGTTGTGCAAGTAAAATTAACATTTCATTAACATAGAAATATTGCATATAAACATAAATACCGGCAGCGGACGCATTAATTAAACTAATTATCAAAACTTGTAAAAATATCTTCAAATAGGAGGGAGATAAAATTATTTTTAAATTAATAAACTCTTTTTTCTGAGAAAGTTTGTTGATCTGTTGGTTGTCCTCTACCTCTAGATTTGGATAATAATATGATGTAGAACATTAAATAGATAATCACCAATAAAGCCAATATTGCATTGTTGTGGATTGAATGGAGAATATTCTCATACTTAATTAGACTGTTATTAGAGACTGAACTGAGATCGTGGTACGAGAGTCAATATCGTTATCTCGAAAAATATCAATCTTGAGAATCTAGATCTCGTTTCGGTCCTATCTCTATTTTGTTACTTTCACAAAATAAAATCGGCTCCCTACTACATTGTTACACCTTAATTTCAAGCAGGTCTTTTTAAATTCCGTTCGAAGCAATACCCCTGTATAAAAAATAGTCTAGGATGTATCTTATAGTCAAGTTTGACTGTGCTAGGAATGGGATAGGCTAAATAACTTCTAATAGTCTGTTGGATGAGTAATAAGAACCCATAGAAGAACTTACAGTTTCATTTGTATCATCAATATATAACAGATGTGGATTGAAAAACCAGCTAAAGTACATGCTGCTGAAAGTTACAGGCTTTGTATAGAATGCCATTGCTAGGCCATAAATTATAGGAATAACCATCCAAATAACCAGCTTTTTACCTTTAAAATAATTATTAGGGTAGCATTTGTACGCCACTCTCATTTTAAAGTCAGATTTTTCCGCAAGAGACGTTTCTTACAAGTAGGGTTGTACCCCGAACGCTCGGGGGCGGGTATGTCGGGGTACGGGGTTTTCCAATTGTTTCGGGGCGGGGTTCGGGTCGGGGGAGCAAAATATGGCCGGGGTTCGGGTCGGGGTACGGGGGTTTAGTGGAAAAATTTTTTGAGAAAAAAATGCTCTAAAATAATTAGAAATCGATATATTTTCGTTGATTATTCAAAAATTAAGTAGGATTTAAAGAAATTAGAGGGGATTTGACGGGATTAAAGTGTATAACTTGGGATATAAGTGGATCTGGAGGGATTAAGTGGGATTTTTAGGGATTAAATGGTATATCTAGGGATACAAGGTGATCTGGAGTGATTTTTGTTGGCACAGCATCTTAAAA